AAGGCTAATAGATCCTTCTTTTATTTTCTGGGAAATCTTTTAGATGATTTTGTTTTTAAACATTTGTTATTTTCTGCTACTGTCTACCCTTTCTACTGTTTGACAACCAAACTTGCAGTTATCAAAACTGACATTTTAATAACTCAGCTCTGAGCCTAATACTTATAATCCCTTAAATGGTTATAACATTTACCAATAGTGTTACAAAATAATAACTATTACATTATAATCTAAAAGCTACAACTTTATAAGTAGGAGATTGTTAAGAAAAAAAAGAGTAACAAGAAATTAATTTAAGTTTCAGGCCCAAGAAACTATTTCACCCAACTTATAAACCCTGACACTGAGCCACCCAAGAAAAGAAAATTAACAAAAGACTGAAGTAAAAAATCCAAATCCAAAACCAATGAACAAAATATAACACATCTGAACCATAAACTTAACGGTCTTCCGGCCAATCACTTCTGAACATCCTTGTCAAACTATTTTAAGGATCTGGAATCTCGCTCTATTAAAAGCAAGTTCCCAACATATGAACTACACTTACGAGATTCTATCACAGTAGTTACTGAAGCATAACACACCAACCTTCAGCTTTTTGCTTCCTATTAGTATAAGAAAGGCTTGCCTCTCTTACACAAAATTGAGTCTGTGGCCAAAATCCTGACACACCAGGAGATCTGAGTTTTCACTTCTAACACTAATTTAAGGTGTAAAGTTCCCAAAGGTCTATTCTGTATTTACCACTTAAATTGTAACATGGAAATACAACATCTGACACCTCCACCTCCAACAGTCTCTTCAAAGGATTTCCGACTTTGGTTAATCTCAGTTGGGAGAACATAAAGCTACGGCTGAAAACTCCTCGATCAAAATAAGAACTTTAAAAATCTAAAATAGTGCTACACATTATTTGATAAACTATGAACTATAGAAACTGAGATTCGACTAACAATTGCCAAAAAAGGTACAACTACACAATTTGACAAAAATGAATACGCAAATAGCTCTTTCTTAGCACTCGGAAAAAATAAATAATACTCAGTAACTATGGAACACTGTGGTGTTATGTTTCCTATCCACATAGTCTCTGCATCAATGTTACTATTCTCCCACTCTCTGGATGAGCAAAAGGAGCCCACTGTCCCGGATCCCCCATACCAAGAGTTCAGTAAATGTCACTAATAGTAATAATAATAATAAAAGCAACAATTTCTAAAGCCACAATTTATACGAGAGTGTGGCACCCGAATAGGGTGCAAGGCACACGGCAGCATGCAGCTATTTCTCGCTTCTGACTCTTCTGCATCACTGCTTCCCAAAGGACTAGAAAATCTGAAGCTCTTACTGCCACATCTACAAATTAAAGTAACATGCTTAAAGAGCTCACAGGTTCTCCGAACCGCCGGTATTTAATGAACGAACCCCACGAGAGAGAAACTCACCCAGATGCAACAAAACATGCTTTTGGGTTCCACCTATTTCTTTCAACTTTAGAAATAAACACAACTGTTCAAAAACATTATGTAGTAAGTTAGAGTCTGGAAAACCACCTACTCATCCGAGCGGCTCAGAAAATGGAAAGCAAAATTCGATTAGCTCCATTGTACCCACCCAGGCTAACGTGCAAGACCACACTCTCAGCCTGGTCAGAGCGTCTCTGCCAGCACCAAAGCACAACAAAGGCAACTTGAGGAGGCTGCACAAGGCTTAACTCGGCACTCGTCCGCTTTCCCAGCTTCCGAAAGCAGCTCTCTGCGGCCGCAGGGACCGGGGGGACCCCCGAGGCCGCCCGGCCGGCGGCTGGGCTCGGCGCCGCTCGCTCCGCTTTTGTCTGGCAGGCTCGGAGCCCCGGCCGCCCGCCTCCCCGGCACCCCGCCTCCCCGGCACCCCTTCCCTCTGGATCTTTCTCCACACCCGGCCCTCGCCCAGGATTACTTGCCGTGGGCTTCGCTCCCTCGACGCCTCCCCTTGCAATCTCGGGCTCTTTTCAAACGCCACTCGGGCTCCGCCGGCGTCTCCTACCCGGCCGGAGCCTCGGGTCACGGAGGGGGCGGGGGTGGGCTCTCGGAGAGGAACAGGGAGGGGGACACAAAGCCGGGCTGACCCCACGCCCCCCCCCCCCCCCGCAAAGCAGCCTGGGATCAGCGACCGGCTGGTTCGATAAACAACCCTCCCATCCCGCCCCTCAGCCGGCTCCCACCTAAGGGCCGCCCCCTCCCCCAAAGTGCACCCAAGAGCCGGTGACAGCGCTGCAAGTCGCCGCCACCCAAACTCCGCGCCCACCACTTGCGAGGGAGGGGGCAGGGGCCCGGGGCCTAAATCTCCTCACCATAACCCCGTACTTACAGCCGTATCATTCGCTACCGTTGCCGCTGCGGACCACACAGCCGCCCCCTTCTCCTCCACCCCAATGAGGTTAAGCGCTCGGCGCGGGGATTAAAAAAAAAAAAAAAAAGCAGCCGCGAGCGCCTGCGCACTGCGGTCTCCCTTTCTCCCCTTAGCGCCAACGAGCCGGCTGTACCATAGAGAGTGTAAACCGGGACCAGAGAGGCGGCTCCCTCTCTATGGTAAGGCCCCGCGCAGGCGCAGGCGCCGGCCGGGCCGACCTGCGATTCGGGACATACAAATCCCGGGAGCTTTCACCTCCTGGCGAACGTCAGATGACCCTGATGGGGACCCGTAGGGTAAAGGTTATGTCAGACAAGGGTGGCCAAGGTTCAGAAGGGCCTTCTGGGGAGTTGCGGCAAAACTCAGGCTGGGCAAGGAGGATCGGATCTAAACCGCCACGGCAGTAGAGCACCAGAAAGCCGGGAGTGTGCTGAGGAGAGTTAGGGTGGAACCAGGAAAGCCTGGGTAGAAGTGTGGCCGGAAACTCCTTCGGTCCGGGCTCTAATACCTGAAGGCAGCGGACTTTCACTTCCGGGTTACTCGTGGTTCTCCCCCCCCCCCCACCCCCCCAGCCGAGCGATTTGAATGAAGGAAATTGTGTCCTGCGGCTTCCCGCCCTTGGGCTCGCCTCGGTTCTCCCTTCCTGTCTGGAGTAAGAGTGGACGCTTCGGCCGGAAACACATATTTTTAACGATTTTTTGCCCCTTTTCAAGCGGAGCGGGCCCGTGTAGGCCTCGGAGGTCCTCGAGGCGGCCGGCTGGAGTCTGCTTCTTCCTTGAGGATCTCCACAAAAAGCGCTGCTTCCGTCCTCCCGCTCGCTTTCCTCTCGGATGCTGCGAGGGGAAGGGTTTCCGAGGGTAGAAAACGGTGCGAGTGACGGGGCCGTCTTAAAGGATGCTGAAGGACCACAGTTGCCGCGTCAGGCCCGTGCGCTCGCCGGAATTTGCCGTGGAAAGCTTTTGTGTGAGATTATCCGCGGCCTCGGAGAGACCGCTCTTCCTCCATCTCGACGTGCGGACCATCGAGTTGTCCCTGGAGCCTCTGTGCGCCGAGCTCCGTGCTGCTGGCGTGCATGTGTGTTGGGCGCGGGATGCGGGAGGAGAACTGAGATGCTGCCCTTGATGCTTGCGCGTAGAAGAGATAGTTGGAGAGACTCAGCCACCGCATTAAACACAGAGCCGGTGTAGGCCCTTTTCTGGTGCAGGAAAGAGAGAGGAGTGTGGTCTCAAAGAGGAGGGACGACCTGGAGGCTGTGACTCCTGGTTTGATCTGGAAAAGATAACCGATCTTTCCGGCGAAAGCACAAGCAACTTTTTGGAAATGGATGGTAACGGTGAAAGAGCATTGCAGAGAAGAAACACCGTGGGACAAAGGCTCGAGAGGGAGTGGGTGTTACACTGGGAGTTCGCTGAAGACAGCAGTCTAACTGAAATGGGGGGAAAAGACAAACCACAGGACTGGAAAGTCAGGTTTGATAAATAGGATGGAGATTTTTAAAAAATTTTTAGTAGTGGTAAAATACACATAACATAAAATTTACCGTCTTAACCACTTTTAAGTGTACACTTCAGTAGAGTTAAGTACGTTTACATTGCTGTGCAGCCATCTCAGGAACTCTTCCTCTTACAAAAGTGGAATTCTATAGCCATTAAACAACTTCTCCTAACCCCCTTCTGCCAGCTCTTGGCAACCGTTCTACTTTTTGTCAATTTGACTATTCAGGTGCTTCATATGAGTGGAATCATATAGTAATTGTCTTTGTGCAACTGGCGTATTTCATTTAGCATAATGTCTTCAGTGTTTTTCCATGTTGTAGCATGTGTCAGAATTTCCTTCCTTTTTAAGGCTGAATAATATTCCATTGTGTGTACATACCACGATGGACACTTAGGTGACTTCTACCTTTTGGCTATTGTAAGTAATGCTGCTATGAACATGGGTGGTCAAATATCTCTTTGAAACTCTGCTTTCCGTACGTTGCGGAAGCTTTTGAAACCAAGTAGAGAAATCCATACTGTTTCAGATCCTCAACTGGGGGTAGAAAAATGGTGGAAGGACTGCTGTTGGGACTAGAAGGTCACTACATGCTCCATTTATAGAAAGCACTTATGGAGGCTGTAAGATATGCCAGGCCTTGTACTACTGCTTTGTGTAAATTAACGATATGTCACTGAGTCCAAAATAAACGTGAGCCAATTGTTACCACATGTTACTGTGAGAAAATCAAGCTTCTGGGTTACAGATGGGCTGAGGGGACGCCACCAACCACACATACACGGAAGTGGTTAGGAAACAACTCCCATGGGAGCTGGGCATCCGTGGCCCTGATGTTTGCTGGTTTGTTCAAGGATATTGAAAGAAAACAGTTCACACGTAAAAGAATAGGCTGACATCAAGAGCTTTCACTGTCACATCACTGGTATGCTTAGGGGCTTAACAGCAAAACTGCGTTCCGAGGTCCCTAACAACCCTGCGGTTTGAATTCAGGTCTGTTCGTTGCCTTTAAAAAGTATAAAGTGCTGGGTAAGTACATCCTTGTGTGTGATACGGACGTTAGTGAGGCACATCGTTCCCGACTCAGCTCTTCCTCTTTCACTTTACGTTCTCAGAAGTCCCGGGACATCGTTCAAAGCAACGATCTCCACTTGGCAGATGAGGAGATTGAGGGCCAGAAAGGAAAATGATTTGCCAGCCATGGCTGATTGGTACCAAGGCTGCAGCTGAAACCTGAACCTCCAGACTTCCCACTCTGTGCTTTGGGCTCCCTTACGAAGATAGACGCCACAGTCTGAGTGAGTGGACGATGTTTCTGTTCAGTCAGTTTCATCTCTTTCAGGGATATACGCCAAACTCCCGTGAAGCTAGTGCCGGTTAAACAATGAGGCCGAGAGAATAAGTGCATTATAAAGAGCATTCATACCCTCAACAATATTGCATACCAACTATGTGCCAAACACTTAGCAAAGCAGGAGAAAATCCCTGTTCTCAGGGAGAGGAGATAGAAAATAAAGTAATAGATAAATTACATACTCTGTCAAGTAGGATAGGTATTCTGGGGAAAAAATGAAGCGGTGCAGGGAAAGTGGTGCTGAGGATAGGGGGCACTAAGAAGCAAACTTTGAGCAAAGATCTGAAGGAGGCGAGGGAGCAAGAAATGTCCTTTATCCGGGAGAAGAACTTTCCAGGTAGACAGTGTCAAGTGCAAAAATTCTGAGGCAAGAGGATGCCTACTACATTGTAAGAACAGAAAGGAGGCCGGAGTGGCAGAAGCAGAGAATAGGAGGGGAAAAGTAGGAAATGAGGTCAGAGGTAACAAGATGCCAAATTGTGTAGGGACTTAAAGGGCATTGTAAGGACTTTGGCTTTTATTAGGGGAGATGGGAAGCCATTGGAAGGTTTTGAGCAGAGAAGTACATGATTTGACTTCTGTTTTGAAAGAATCACTGTAGCTTCTGTTTTGAGAATAGAATGTAGGGGAGTAGGGAGTTTTGACAGCAGATTATAGGGGAGCAAGACGGGGACAACTTAGGAAGCCATGCAGTACTCCCAAGTGAGACGGTAGTGGCTGGGGAACGTGCAAGCAGTGGAGGGGTGAAGTGTCACCATATTTTCAGACATGATGACACACAGGGTTTGATGAGTTACTTGGTAGAGTGTGCGAAAAAGATGAGCTAAGACTCCAAGATTTTTGGCCTGAGCAATTTGAAAAATGGAATTGTACCTTACTGAAATGAGAAACACTGGGAGGAGCAGGTTGGGGATGGGAAGAGAGAAGAAATTAAATTTTGGAGATGTTAAGTTTGAAATGCCTATTAACACATGGAGATATCAAGAAGGCAGTTAGGTATATGAGTCTCACTTATATATCTATAAGTTGTAAGTTGTATAAGAAGAAGGGTCCAGGGGCCAGCCCAATGATGTAGTGGTTAAGTTCGCCCACTCTGCTTTGGCGGTCCTGGGTTTGTGGGTTTGGATCCTGGGCGCAGACCTACATACCGCTCATCAAGCCATGCTGTGGTGGCATCCCACATAGAAAATAGAGGAAGACTGGCACAGATATTAGCTCAGTGACGATCTTCCTCAAGCGAAAAAGAGGAAGATTGGCAACAGATGTTAGCTCAGGGCCAATCTTCCTCACCAAAAAAAAAGAAGAAGAAGAAGGTTCCAGGCTGGAGATATAAATTTGGGAGACATCAGCATGTAGAGAGTATTTAAAACCATGAGATCATCTAGATTCTAAGTGTAGACAAATTTGAAAGAGTTACCCAAGGACCGAGCCCTAGAGCACTCTAGCTTTAGGGGTTGAGATGGTAATGAAACCAGCAAAGTGGACAGAAAGAGCAGCCACTGAAATAAGAGGGAACCAGGAAAAGCAGCCAAGTCAATTGCTGATGGACTGTAATGGTGAGGATGAAAGCCTGATTGGAATGGGTTCAAAAGAGAATGGTAGGTACACAATTCAAGAGAGGAAGAGTAGATACTTTGGAGGAAGATTTGGTTGTAAGGGTAAGGGGGCAGAAAATTGGGGTGATTCTTCAAGAGATAGGTAGGGTCAAGATAATTTTTTGTTTAAATTTTTTTTTTTCCTCCCCAAAGCCCCGTGTACATAGTTGTACATTTTTAGTTGTGAGTTCTTCCAGTTATGGCATGTGGGATGCCATCTCAGCATGGCTTGATGAGCGGTGCTGTGTCGGCACCCAGGATCCAAACCGGCGAGACCCTGGGCCGCTGAAGTGGAGTGCGCGAACTCAACCATTCGGCCACGGGGCCAGCCCCAAGAGAATAATTTTTTAACTATTTCGTCTACAAATATTGTAGCGTTTCTAGGAGATAAGATTCTTTTCTTACAAAGATAGATACCGAACCTCTTGATCTCAGGTTCATGTGCCCTGGGCTCAGTAAGCCAATCACTGAGCTATGGTGCTTGGAGATGGAGAAAGTTTATTCGAATTCACCAAAACAAGAAGCTGGCAACATAGGTTCTCTCAAATCTGCTTTAACAAAAGGAGAGAGCAGGGGGTTTTATAGAGCTAAGGGCTTGAGAGAAGGAGTTTTGGAGAAACAAATAGGAAATTGAGTTTCTTTCACTCCAGATAAGCCCTTGGGCAATCAGACTTCTGGGCATCAGTGGCAGCTGAGGGCTGGTTATCTGGTGATCCTAACTTGCTTAAAGGCATTCTTTTCTTCTGCAAAACAAGCTCAAAAATCCTTGTGACCCTTGAGTCACCCCTCAGGTTAAACAAGAAAACAGCAAATTAACAAGGTTAACTTCTTTTCATTTGTGATGCTATTGGGAACAAGGTCAAAGGGTAATCCTGTTCTTACTGAATATTTACAGTGACCCTCAGGTACGCAGCTTCAATATAACCTCAACGTCACTACACACGTAAAAAGTAATTCCTGTCAATCTTCAAATGTCCGTGTCTCAAAGTTCTTTTGCTATCACAGTTATTGAGATATAATTCATATACCATACAATTTACCCATTTAAGCTATACAATTTAATAGTCTTCAGTACTGACGAGATTTTCACATATTGGGACATACAGGGTAGCTATTCTGGTTCAACACAGAGTCAGCTTGAACTAAAGAAGCCTCACTTATGGCCCATCAAACATAGATTGTACATCTTGTCCAGGCAAGTAATCCATAATCTATAAATCAAAATTGGGATGAGTTTATTCTGTGAGTCAGCTTTGAGGACTGTAGCCTGGGGGCTTCCTTCTCCAAGGAAGGAAGCACTCTGCAGAAGCAGGGTGTACAGAGGTGTTACACACGGTCTTGCAACAAAGGATGTACATCACATGGGACAGGAATATCTCTTTTACAACAGTCATGAGATGCTTTGCTGGCACAGCAGGTTAGTGGTCACAAGGTGAACACAGCAGGTCTGTAATTAACCCTTAGTTTCTGGGAAGAGATGCTTATCCTAAAAGAAATGCTGATATGGGGGGAGGCAGCATCCCCATCTTTGAGGGCATCATTCTTGGCTTTGAGACATTGTAAACGTTTAAAGCAGATGTACAATGCATGCTCAACAGGCCACATCAGGCCTTGGTGGAAAAACAAGGTCAGGCCGAATTAGTTTTAAACCGAATGGCTTCCTCATGTACTCCAGTATATCCTTTTGCTTTTCATTGTTTCATCAATCTGCTTTAACCATTAAAGTGAGCAGTGCATTAAACATTTTCTCAAGGTAAAAGAATGCACTTTGTTAAGAATTCAAGGGCCAGCCCTGTGGCACAGCGGTTAAGTTCGCACATTCTGCTTCATCGGCCTGGGATTCACTTGTGCAGATCCTGGGTGTAGACCTACATACCACTTGTCAAGCCATGCTTTGGCAGATGTCCCACATATAAAGTACAGGCATTTGGGCATGGCTGTTAGCTCAGGGCCAGTCTTCCTCAGCAAAAAAGAGGAGGATTGGTAGCAGATGTTAGCTCAGGGCTAATCTTCCTCCAAAAAAAAAAAAGATGAGAATTCATACTTTCCCACCTACAATGTCGGTATCGGTAACACCCTATCAGTACTCCTATTGGTAATGCCTCATATTTATATTTATCCATTCACTAGTTGATGGACATTGAGTTTTTCCAAAGTACTTTTAGGCTATTGCAAATAGTGTTGCTGTAAACACTCTATTACAACATTTTGTGTGGACATGTGTTTTTATTTTTCTTGGACATATACCTAGGAATGGAATTGCTGATGATAAATGATAAGTGTATGTTTAACGTTTTCAGGAATGGCCAGAATGTTTTCCGTGGTGAAGGTGCCATTTTACATTCCCACCAGCAGAGTATAACGGTTCCAGTTTCTTCCACGTCCTCACCAACACTTGTTATTATTTGTCTTATTTATTATACCTATTCTGTTAGGTGTGTAGTGGTATTTCACTGTGGTTTTGATTTGCATTTCCCTAATGACTAATGATGTCAAGCATCTTTTCATGTGCTTATTGGCCATCCTGTATATCTCATCAAAGAAATGTCTATTCAAAGCCTTTGCTCATTTTGTAGTTGTGTTGTCTTTTTTATTATTCATTTATAAAAGCTCTTTATATATTCTGGATTTAAGTCTCTTATCAGATATATGATTTGAAAATATTTTCTCCTATTCAATGGGTTGTCTTTTCACTCTCTTGTTGATACCCGTCAAAGCACAAAAGTTTTTAATTTTATTGTCCAGTTTATCTATTTATTCTTTTGTCACTGTGTTTCTGGTATCTTTCTAAGAAACTGTTACGTAATCTAATGTTTTCTTCTTAGAGTCTTAGACTTTTGGCTCTTATATTTAGGTCTTTGATCCATTCTGAGTCAATTTTTGTACATGGTATGAGGCAAGGGTCCAAACTCATTCTTTTGCATGTAGCTATCCAGTTGTGCCACCACTATTTTTTGGAAAGCCTATTCTTTCTCCATTGAATTGTCTTGGCACCCTTGTGTAAAACCAATTGCCTATAAGTGTTTGGGTTTATTTCTTGACTCCAAATTCTATTCCACTGATATATATCTGCATTCTTACACCAGTGCCATACCGTTTTGACTACTATAGATTTGTAGTAAGTTTTTGAAATCAGAAAATATGAGTTCATCAACTTTGTTTTCGTTTTCTGGTGGTTTTGGCTATTTGGGGTTCCTTGAATTTCCATATGAATTTTCCAATCAGTTTGTCCATTTCTTCAGAAAAGGTAATTGTAATTTTAATAGGAATTGCATTGACTCTTTAGATCAGTTTGGAGAGTGTTGCCGTCTTAACAATATAAAGTCTTCTGACTATGAACATGGAATGT